GTGACTCAGACTTAGATATGTTTGTGTTATTATTTTTGTTTACTTCAAAGTTTTTATTTATTCTTTCTTGAGAGACTTGTTTATTCTAATTAGAAGCTGAGTTGTTAGAAGAATCAAATTGTGATCTAGAATTTGTAGCTTGATTACTTTCTGTTACTATATTTTTAGTTATAGAGGATAAGTTAGTTTTTAAATTCTCTAACTATTTTTCTGTGAAAAAACTTGTAACAAGTTTGACTCTCCTGTTTTTAAGTTCTTCTATAGCAGAAAATTTATTTTTTCTAGGAACTAGAGGGAAGGCTCCTGTTCTGTTACTATTTTTAGAGTTAGTGAGATTCTTTGTAGAGGTTATTTTGTCTATTTAAAAAACTCTCGATCCTATATAAAAATAGTTAGAAGAGAGAGTACGTCGATTTCTGATATTTTAATTTATTAATTAACATAATATAATTTTTAGTGGATAGCAAGGCTGTTGTAGCTACAATTGAAGGTGCTATAAAAGCTCTTTACAATAAAGGAAAAGGAAAGTAGGTAGTGAAAAAAGTAAATGAAAAATAAAGATGATGATGAGAGTAGTAGTAGTAGCAATGAAAGTAAAAGTGAGAGCTCAGAAAGTGAAAGTGAGAGCTCAGAAAGTGATAGCCCTCTGAAATCACTAGATAAAGAACAATCAGCATATCTTCGAGTAAGTATAGTATGATCTGTTTTCTGTTTTTGTTTTTCTGTTTTTTATTTCAGATTATTTTTTTTTTTCTTCATAGGATAAAATAAAGATATTGACTAAGGGAGGTAGCTTGTCTAACCTTAAACCAGACCCTCAAAAAACATGGGTATCTTAACAAAAAGATATAAGAAAAAAACCTAATTCTGGCATTAATAAAAAAATTGCTTGGCTTTAAAAAATCATGCTATAAATATCAAAAAATATTGAAACAGTATTATAAGACACAAAGATATACCACTCAAATAAATACTGATCATAATCTGCAAGAATATAATCGAAAACAAATAGCAAGAAATAGCAAGGTGAATGAGATAAAAAATAATATAAATATAAGAATATTAGTAGATTTTTGTAATTTGATAATTATCAAATTACAAAAATTTGCTGATATGTAAAATATAATTCATTATTGTATATAAAAAAAAATAGAAAAGGAAGAGAAGATGTAAGGCATTGGCATATTTAATGAAGGCTGATAATGAAAGAATTAAAAGATATTCTCTAGATAATTTAGAGATGTTAACATAAAGTAAACGTGGAAATGCCTATTACTTTGCTAAGGAGTAGGTGACCAATGAATATAGTAATAAAAAATTAATATGTATAGATAAGTAGTGGCATGGTCTGAATATAGGTATCAGTATATTATTCTCATAGACATGATATCACAAAATAAGCTGAAATTATCTAGAATCTCAGCTTATTTTGTGATATCATGTCTATGAGAATAATCATTATTAAAATTTAAAATATATAATTATTTTACTAATATCAGCCTAATATCAGCCTAATATTATTAGATTAAATGGCTATTTCACAAAAGAATTGATTCTTATGTAAAACTATTTCAGCCTAAAAACAAGTGAATGATTGAATGCTACTACAAAAATAATATCGATGATACTAGTAAACCTTTAGATAATTGCTTGAATTGGGTATTATCTGATGAAGCCCTAAAAAAGTATAATTTAACTGCAAAAGATTTTGATATTGATTATTCAACTGGTAACAAAGACCCAAGAAAAAAAGAAAAAAAAAGTAAATGAAAAAGGCAAAAAAATGAAAAGAAAAAGTAGTGAGAAAAAAAAAATATATATATAGATAAAAGTAGAAGATATTAGAAAGGAAAAAAGTAAAGTAGGAGATATTGGGCAAGAAAAAGCTAGGGTGGGAGATATTGGGAAAGAAAAAGCTGAAGCAAGAGATATTAAGAAAGAACAAGGTGGTGCAGGAACGAAAAGAAAAGGTAGCTATGCAGATGATAATAATAGTGATAATTATAGAGTAGTACTGTGGAAACAACAAAAGAAAAAAATAGAAGAGAGACAAAAGAAAAAAATAGAAGAGGCTGAAGAAAGAGAGGAAGAAACCTCTTCAGATGATTTGCTTTTTGAATATGAGGCAACCTTAAGCGAACTATTAATAGCTGAAACAGCAACAAAAACAGCAGCAACAAAAACAGCAGTAGCAACAACAGCAATAGCAAAAACAGTAGTAACAAAAACAGCAGCAACAAAAACAGTAGCAACAAAAACAGTAGCAACAAAAACAGCAACAGCAAAAATAGCAGAGGCAACAATAGCAGCAACAAAAACAGCAACAGCAAAAACAGCAACAGCAAAAACAGCAATAGCAAAAACAGCAAAGGCTACAACAGGAAAAAGTACTAACAAACTAATAGAGATAGTAATACTAGTATCAAGTCCATTAAGAGATAAATCACCCTCAATAGGATCTAGTGAACTATTAACATCAAAAAAGACAGCTGATAGAACTAAAAAAAAACTAACTAAAAAAATATCTGAAGAAGATAATCCATTAATATTTGAAGTGGAAGAAGTTGAAAGTGAAGAAGTTGAAGATAAAGAAAGTGGAGAAGAAGGTGGAGAAGAAGGTGGAGAAGAAGGTGGAGAAGAAAGTGGAGAAGAAGGTAGAGAAAAAGGTAGAGAAAAAGGTAGAGAAGAAGGTAGAGAAAAAGGTAAAGATAAAGGAAAAAAAAGGAGAAAAAGGAGAGATGATAGTGATAAGAAGTCAAAGAGAAAGATGAAAAAGAGGTGATAGTTTATAAATGTATAATTTTTATTTTACTTTATGTATTTTAAGTAATAACTAGAGAATAAATAATATCAGCTA